TCAATTCATGTACGAGTTCATAAGTAACACCCTGCTTTCCTTCCTCAGCCCAATGGAGCGTTTACTTCTCTTTCCGGGTCAGTAAAGACTATTCACGTTTCTCCCAACCTTTTATTACGAAAATTTTCAAACCAAGTACAGTCAAAAGAATGTTACAGTGACCACCTGTGTTATCTGCCACTTAGATCCTACTCTTCATAGTTAACTGAATTTGCTTTATCTCGAATCTGTGCATCTACCCATCCATCAGCTCATCTTATTTTTGGTGTATTTCAGAGTAAATTGCAAACAGTACTATTCTTCCATGGTAAATAAGACTTTTGGTTTTTAACTTACGTTTTCTGAATTTTTACCAAGCTGGGCTGTGTCAGCCTGCCTAGGTAGACTGTAAAGATCAAAGGGAAGCCTGTGGGTCTTTCTGTGGGTGGTTTATCTTCCCAACCCCCCTCCTCAGACATTTAAACATTGACTCTTTAATTATAGTGGTGGCTAGCCTGTGCACTAGAGTTTCGAGAAAGTGGAAAAGGGAATTTTTACAAATCCAATCACTGTGTCTTCTAAACTCTGGTATTTGAGGCCGAAAAGACTCCTGCAGGTAGTGTAGGTGGAAAAATTTATAGAAAAAGAAAAAAGTTGTCCCCAGATGTATAAACAATATAGCCCATGTCTACATTTCTGGATTTCCGTGTATCAGATGGACTTAAAGCAAAAATGTAACTGTAACAACATAGGGGTTCATAAAGAATACAGATGGTTTCTGCTTTTGGATACAGAATATTCCCAGGAAGACCTTCGCTATTGTCCCAGCCTGTGGGTTTTAGAGGCAGAAACTGCAGTGGTGAGGAATGAGATACAAGGTTTTAGCGGGCAAGTGAATGGTAGTTACCGAAATCAGAGATTGCCTTATTGGGAATTACAAAACAATTATTACTGTGTGTTTTTACCACATGTAGTTTTCGAGCTTAAGGAACATGATCCAGCAGTGTATTAACAAGCCTGAGTATAACAGCATTCTATTAAGGTTTGTTTTGCCTCCTTTTTATGTTGTTGTATTTACATTTAAGTTTTAATTGATGTTTTGGCCATGTGTTTGCCCCTGAAGAGATTTCGTAAAGGCTTTCTTTTTTTTTTTTTTTAACACATAAAGTGTTATATTCCAGGTATAGTAAGTAAAAATTACCCTTCATGTCCTCAGAAATGAGATTTTGCCAGTGTAACAAAATTTTAGTTTAAAATATCTATCCATTAGTACCATAAACAAACCGAAAATATTGTCTTAGAGACTGGGGGGCAAGGACCTCAGTTTGGAACACGTCAATGTAAGGAATTGATTCTCAAATGTAAGCACTGCCTGAACAGAGGGAGGGAAGCGAAGTTTGAGACCCGAACACAAAGTGGACGATATTATGTAAGGTCCTTATGAGAAACAGCATCTCAAGGAGAAAACCTCTCCATGATCAGTCCAAGAAGGCCGATGCTGGATCGTTTCTCTTGGTCAACTCAAAGCAACACAAGGGGCTAGTCTGACAAGGAAACGAAATCGAGGAAAGAGGCAGAGATCATATTTTTAAATGTTATTATCTGATTTTTAAGATGTAGAGGCTCCTGAATTTCTTTCACTGGAGGAAATTAAGTGCTCTTGGCCCCCCGAGGATCTTAGAGATAAGAATGTGACCATCCTAAGCTTATGGATTTAGTCTTTGGAGGCTTCATGACAGTGATGAAAACCTGTTGGCTCCATGGGTTATCTCAGGGATTACGGCTTGCCTCTTTCACAAGAATCAGGAAAATGCATCCCATGGTACGTTTAGCCTCAAACCAGGGAGGCTGTTGTATAACAGCTACGTCCCTGCTAGTATGAGGCGAGTAAAAATAAGTGCTCATTATGGTTCACGTCACCCCTCAAGTGACCTTGTAAGAATGCTCTGTGGGCTGGTAAATTTCAGTGCTTATGCACAAGGCTATTTTTCAACCAGGGAATCGAAAGTGCACGACTATACTAATACTTAAATCACTTCTTCATGCTTAGAGTTCCATCTCCAAGATATTCAGATGGAAGTAGGCATTACACCAAGGACAGGAGGAAAAGGCATGATTTAGTAGAAAAGGGTGGGAAAAGAGCAACACTGTCCTTTTAACCAATGCATCTGGAATGAGATATTTAAAGAAAAATCTCCCAAAATGATGGCTAATTGACAAGGAAAGATAATTCGATTCCATCGTCTCTGTTCACACATACTATTGTTTCAGCCCGTGATGTTTTGTTTACTCTGGAAGGAAATATTTTACCCCCTCTGAGATAATTAATTTTTGTCAGCTTCACTGTTTATAAGGGAAACTGAGAAACTGTTAATTGAAATACAGAATGAGTCACTGTTTTCAGTAATTTTTGGCAGCATTCTAATTTGTGTCAATCCCAGCCTAATTATTAGATTTTTTGGAAGCAGAAAGCATATTTTATTTTTCTCTTACCGATTTTTCTTCCTTTTTTTAAAAAAAAAAATACGTGCAGCTTGACAAAAGTTATACAATTGATATGAACATGAGGTAAAATACCAGCACATTTGAAATACCAAGAGGTTTAATGTGTTACGCTTGGCTCTTCACACTAGCCCAGTGTTCAGGTTCACAGACTGTGGTCTTCCTCCTACCCCCAGCCCCGACGAAAAAATGTGGTTCTTTTAAAGACCTTTTAGCTGGTATTAAGCCACAGTATATGGCCCGTCACTAATGACATCACTGAAGTAAACTTCCCAGAAGTCATTAGGGAGAATTCATTTGGAAATCCAAATGAACGTCACTTGCAAAGGGCAGGCTTCTAGAAGAGGTGACTAGTCATGCATTCCTGAGTTATTTGTTGTAAAAGCATTAATCACCCTGAACTCATTTGCTCCTAATGTGAACACACTACATTATTCCACAGGAATTCTGTTCCCAATGATCATTAATGTAGAGATCTGAAGCTGCTGACTATGGGCAGGGTTAATAAAATCCGTCAGATCAATGGCCAGGATAATGGGACTGTTAATGCCTTCTAATAGAAGTTGGATCTTCCTGGTTGTGGCAGAGTGAAGGCAAGGTGGAGAGGCAGGTGCCTGTGCTGGGCAGGCAGCCCCATCACTCGCCTCCCGAGGTGGCCTCTGGGTGAAAAGAGCATTGATGTCAGTCGCCGGGCGTTGCCAGGGCTCTGAGGCAGTGCGGCTGGGAGCGTGGGCAGCAGCGGTGGGCTGGGGAGGGAGCCACGGGGCGGCCACGGGGGGGCTCTGAGACCCTGCTTCAGCTGCTTATCTGCCCGTGTCCGAGCACCTGGCACCGTGGACATCCTAGAACCTTGCTTCACCCCACTCCAGGTCCACAGATGAGATGAAGGACATAATCACAGTGATAATCGTGACAATCACAGCTAATGCTCACTGGCAACTCTCAGGGGCCGAGGACTAAGGGACCTTTCCATACTCTAATCTCAGTCCTCAGAGCTGTACTCTCCATGACATGGGGACTATTCCGCATTTGATAACAGGGGAAGCTGAAGTTCAAACAGATTCAGCAACGAGTCCAAGCTCAGATTTGAAAGTGTGTGCCCTTAACCACTATGCCCCTTTATTAGAGGGAGAGACACAGAAACTGTAGCCTAAAATCAGACCACAGAAAGGTGCAGGATGTGCCAACTGACCTACATGTCTTGCCACTTGTACATGCAACCCATGTACTTTGGTACCATACCATGTACATTGGTACCATACCATGCAACATTGGTATGTTCGGGACTAATCTTGGACAAAGTCTACAAAAGCCATGGTTTGTCTGCAATGCTGTTCCTCTAAGCTTTGCCACTAAAATGTGGGTACCTGGGGCCTGTAAGAAGCCTCACTGCTTTGTGCCACCCACTTGCCGCCCCGTTGGGGCCTCAGGAGACCCTCTCAGCCCAGCAATGCCCTATTAAGATTCGTTCCTTCTCATTCCACCCCTGCCCCATAAAAACTTGCCACATTTCTTGTCATCTGAGGGTCTTGATCTCCTGACTATCCCCTAGCTAGCTCAGGCCAAGTGAGAAGCTGTGGTCCCCTGGGGATGCCTTTGAGCACAACACTGATGTGACTGACACCACAGGCCACCCAGGGCTAGCACCCAGGGCCCCAGCAACATAGCTGGCCATGGGAGCATGGAGACACAGGCTCTGTGACATTTCTAAGCCCCAACGACTATGGTAAATGAGGTGCTGACACAACTGTCTGGGGGCTCAGGAATGGGAACGGGATGGAGTTCACAGGTGGAGGCTAGAGATGCGAGAGGCTGCCAAGAGCCGAGGAAAAGAGGGGCCGGGATGAAAGAAGAATGACAGCTGCAAATGTAAAAACTATAAAATACTAACACTATTAGATGTTCCCAGTAAGCAGTGTTCTGTGCTCACCCCACCCCCAGATCTTCCAAACACACATCATAAGTGCTAGACTACATGGCACAGGATAGAAATGCAGTCGGACTGAGTGAGAGAAATTAGCAAGAGGAAAATGCAGGGACAGCGCCGTGGAAGATTGTGTTGGCTGCGAAGAACATGAATGATTCGAATACAGGGAGAGAAGACATTCCACACAGAGCCCCGAGGCATGAACAGAAGTGTGAGGGTGGGAGCGAGCACACCGAGGACAAAGGAGATGAAGGGAAACAGCCTTGTTTTAGGGGAGGAGTGTGTGTGTAAGGGCGGGTGTGTAAGTGTGGGGGGTGTGTGTAAGAGGAGAACAATTAGCAGGAGCAGAGAGGGGCGTAGCACATTACCACAAGACTTGGTGGCCAAACAAGGGCGTTTGGGCCAGCATGGAAGGTAACAGGGAGCCACTGCAGGCCCTGGGGCATCTAAGGAGCATGATCTAAGCCAAGTTAGGGGAAGTTTCATCTAATAGTTGCATAAGAATGTAGACTGGAGAGGAAAGAGAGAACTAGGGGCATGCCAGGCAGCTGGGGCAGCCTGACCTTATGATTTACCATTTTCTCTCCTCCAGCACACATCCATACTACCCTTCACACTGGCTGAAGTCATCCTCAGGCCACATTGCTATCCACGGAGGAAGAAAGGTCTCACCTTGCTGGCTCTTGCTAGCCTTGCGTACATCAGCGGGTAAGAATTGCAGAGAGAAAATCTACTTAGACTTTTTCCTTCAGGACTAGGAGGGATACTCTAGGGGTGCCTTTCTCTTGGGCTAACAGGGATTTAACCATCACTAAATTTTTAGGTAGGAGAGATTCGTATTTGATGTTGATGCCATGAAAGCATCACATGCACAAGGGTACACAGGTGTGCATGCACAGGCAGCAAGTCAGGCGCTCCTCTCTCCCTCTCATGAATAAGTCATCATTGCAAAGCTACACTTGTTACTTTCCCCCAGAAAATCTTGATCATTGGTTCCATTTGCAAATAAAATATTTGAATGTTTATAGCAGCAATGGCCAAATAGCCAAGCTTTGGAAAGAGCCCATTCATCGACAGATGAATGGATAAAGATGTGGTATAGATATACAATGGAATATTACTCCACCATCAAAAAGACTGAAATCTTGCCAATTGCAACAATGTGGATGGAACTAGAGGGTATTATGCTAAGCGAAATAAGTCAATCAGAGAAAGACAATTATCATATGATCTCACTCCTATGTGGAATGTAAGAAACAAAACAGAGGATCATAGGGGAAGGGAGGGAAAAATAAAACAAGATGAAACCAGAGAGGGAGACAAACCATAAGAGACTCTTAATCATAGAAAACAAACTGAGGGTTGCTGGAGGGGAGAGGGTAGGGGGATGGGCTAACTGAGTGATAGACATTAAGGAGGGTACATGATGTAATGAGCATTGGGTGTTATATGCAACTGATGAATCGCTGAACTCTACTTTTGAAACTAATAATACACTATTGTATTAATTAATTGAATTTAAATTAAAGAAATAATATGGGAAAAAATTAAAAAATAAAATAAAATGTTTAGATGGCTGAATGATCTGACGCATCCAAATATATTCCATCTAAAAAAGGCATTTGACTGGTTGAGCATGCTAGGTTTGGCCCATTCCTGTTGCCTGTATTTTTATGGGCTCATTTGCCTCAACATCTGGCACTAGAACTCCTACAGGGCATTTGGGTAATTGCCCGGGGGCTTGCAGAACAGCCTCGTTCGAGGCATGAGAGGTAATTCAAGTAGCTGGCCTAGATTTCATTATTCAACCACCTGGTGACACCAATACTCAGAAGTGCTGCTCAGTGGTCTGTAATCAAAGGAAAAGGCTTGGCCTTCCACCCGATGATTGGAAACCCCCATTCTGTCACCTTCTTACCCACTACCATTCTCTTGCTCTACTGATAAGAGCATGCCAAGCATAATACCTGCAGGTGGAAGCTAATCATGATGTTCCTTCTCCAGTCTAGACTTACATCAACTGTTCCCATCTGACAATCTGGGTCATCCCCCAATCCCTCCCTATTTGGGGGAAGTTTCACTCAGTATAGGGCTCTGCTAGAGATGGAAGCCAGAAAGAGAACACAATCCAAAAGACTTGGGCTCTCTCAGTGCTTGTTTCATTGGCTTTCACCATCCTTTGTTTGAGAGCCCATAAGCTTTGTGCCCAGAACTCCGTTCATGGCTCTTCCCTTGCCTTTTCTCCTCCTCCTGCAATGTAGGCACCTCCCACACTTCTGCACCTCTCCTTCCCTGAGTGCCCCAAATCTTTCTTGCTTCTCCTCTCTGGAAGAAAGAAAGCACTTGCTCCGTAAATCTACCCCAAGATTCCAGTGATCTATGCTGTTCTCCAGTCTGGGGCCTTTGTGTTTTTACACAAAGGACACTTTTAGAGAGTAGGTGATAGTTGGGAACTTACTGGCAGTTGATGTCTGGAGCATAGTATTGAGAAGGATTCTGAGACCCGACCAGAAAAGGGTTTTGTCATCCTTTAGCAGTATCTGCCAAGAGCATAAGAATAGAGAATGGCAAGATACGTGCCATGTATTTGCCATACCTGGCTTAACCCACAGGAATAAATCCTTAAAGATAGAATATTTGGAAGCTGGGGTTGGGTAAGAGCATGTATACATCAAGGTATCTTTTTCCTATTGTTACGTGTGGAGCAGAAGCAAGGTGGTGTCTGGCTGATTATGGATATGAATTTCCATACTTTTGTTTCTTGTGTGGACTTCCATCTGATTTGGTCTTCCTTGCAGAGTGTAACTTTTGGAGTTAGTATATAAGGCAGCATTTTTTGGTCTTAACTTTTTCTTTTCTTTTTTTAAAGATTTCATTTATTTATTTTTGTGAGAGGGAGAGAGACAGAGAGATAGAAAGAGAGAGAGAAAGCACGAGTGGGGGTATGGGCAAAGGGAAAAGTAGACTCCCCGATGAGCAGAGAGCCCAATGTGGGACTCAATCCCAGGACCCTGAGATCATGACCTGAGCTGAAGGCAGATGTTTAACCGACTGAGCCACCCAGGCACCCAGTCTGTTAACTTTTTCTACCTAAGGACTTGGAAGTTGGTCATCGACTGTCACATCTGACTGTTGCCTTTTTATCTCCAGAGACCAAGAGGGTAAAAGACCACAAAAGCCACTGGTATTTTGGGGAAAAATTGTGGTGGACATAAAGATGAGAAGCAGTGGTGAATAGGGCTTAGCTTGTCAGTGCCTGGACACATGATCAGACCATGCAGGGAATTGGGGGGTTGGAGAGAGGAGGTGCAATGAGGTGGGGGTCCTGTATGAATGCATCCTGTGTCCATTCAATTATTCATCAGCTCTGGGCACTGTGCTAAGTGAGTGAGGATACAGTGATGGAAAAGTCACCATGCCACCTTTAGGGACTGTTTGAGAGAGAAGAAAGTGCCCAAATAAAGGGACGACAGAGTGAGGGGGAAGTGCAGGGTGCTGTGGGTGCCCAGGAGGGATGTTGTGAGCTAGTTTCCGAAGGAAATTGATGTCTAAGCTGAGACCCAAAGAATGAGTAAGAGTAAGTCAAAAGAGACGTGTAAAATACCTTTAGGCAGAGGGAACCGCATCTGCAAAGGGCTGGAGTTGCTGAGGAGAGGGTTGACCTGGAAGACAGAGAAAATCTGGATCATCAATTCACAACAGTGAGTCCAGACTTTGAACCTGAGGGCTTGTCTGTGGGAAAGTTTTCAGCGGAGGAGAGATACCATGTGGCTTGTGTAAGAAAGATGACTGGACTCTGGATGAATTGTGGCAATTAAAGAAGAACAAGATCGGGATGCCGGTTAGTGGCATTTGTGCTAACTCGGGAGAATTGATGTTAGCCAACTGATGACAGTATCAGTCAATCTGCAAATGGAAAGAGAGAGGGTGAGCGGTGGAGGTGATGTGGAGGTCATCCAGCACTGGAGGCCTAGCCTCAGCAGAGGAAATGACATGCCCAAGGTCACAGGGCTGGGGAAAATCAGCACTGGGACTTACACTCAGGGCTCCTATTTCCAAATGCAGTTCACTTTCCACAGTATCCACAGGGCTAGGTATTAGTTCAGCTCCACGTTTGTGCAAAACACACTCTGCGAAATGTGGCGGGGGGGATATAGCATGCAAAAAAGCTTAACCTCTTTTCTATGGTCAATAAACTTCCATGATGTCATGGTTCCCAGCTCTGTGCTTGAATTGAACATTAAAGTGATAGATACAAAGAGCAAGGGAGGGAGAGGCAGAGACCTGTCACCAGCAGGAACGTGACTGGGTGGGCCCCGGTGGGGAGCTGAAGTGGTTTGGAATTTGGAACTCCTTATCCTCGATGAAGTCCTAAATCAGCATTTGGCGCCTCGGTCTTCATTTTTGCTAGAACAAAGCAACTACTCCTCTATGCTGCCCCACGGACTGAAGCTTCCTTACCTCTGCGCATGCACCCCAGCTGTGGGAGCTCGCACTCTGCTGCTTGTTGTCTCTACCCTTATGCAAGGCTTTGGCGCCCATGGGCCCTCACAGCCACAGATGGCCAGCAACGAAGTTCCACAAACTGTGCATATCCGTGGAGATGTTTTAGGGAAGTGGCCGTGGGCCAGCTGTCAGGCATGCCAGTTTGGATGGTCAAATAGGGAAACAGCCTAGCAGGAATGAGGTAAAGAATATGGGCTGAGGCCGGAGCGAGAGTGAGCGTGAGAAACAAACATGAGTCAGAAAAATGGCAGTAACTCTGAGCTGGAGAAGCCCTGCCCAGCCGAAACCACGTTACAACAACCTAAAATTAGCCACCAAGGCCAGGGGGACTGCCTCGCATGTGGCACTTGATTTTTGTGATCTTTCAGATTGCAGAATTGGAGGGCTGGCCCGTAAGTGGGAACACAAAGCTCTGTAAAATAGTAATAACTGCAAATCTTTCATTTCCTTTGAAAAGCATGACTCACCTATAAATACAGTAACTTGCTCCCTGCTCCCATCCTCTCTCACCCCTAAACACATCACCTCGCTCTCTCTGAGGTCTTGGTGAGGAGCAGGAAAACAGAAACCTTCCTACACCTGGCTCTGATTCACTCTTTTATTGACCAAATATTTCCCCTAACACAGGGCTGGTCTTGCTGGGAAAAGCCAAGTGCTATCAGGCCAAGCCCCCGCCTATGGGGGGTTTGTACTTAATAAGGGGGGAATGAGCAGTGCATTTTAAGAATACAAGATGGGATAGGGAATGACATTTAGCGAATATAAGGAGCCCCAGGAATGCAGAGGAGGAAGCGGTTACATCCGGCTGGGTGGTGTGGGAAGGGCTTCAGGAAAGGTGCGTGTTGGATCCGGGCCCAGAAGGATTGGTGGATTGCAGTGAGAAAAGTGAGAGAAAGTGAACAACAGAGCATGGTCCCATGGCCAAGAGAGCACAGATCACCATAGAGCAGTGGCCAGCACCTCACTGTCTCCAGACCTGCAGGTGACTGAGGCTAAGAGGAAGTGGTCCTCGAACTCCCCACCTTCAGAGGCTGGCGGCCGACAGGCTAGAGGTTAGACACAGTGTAGACAACATGAGGTTTTGTTGTTGCTATTTGTCTCTACAGCAGGGAGGGGAAGTGAGAGCTACAAATAACATGGCGGGAGGATTTTGTTGGCAAAAGGCTGTCTTGACAATGCTGCTTAAAATGGATTGGAGCAGC